TTTTAGAAGTTAATTATTGATTTCGTTAATGAGTTTTAAGTCTTCCGCATTATATTTTGTTCATTATGGTTGAAATGTTGGGGTTTAGATTGGTTGGTTCGCTCACATAGGAGGGTAAGTGTGGGTGCCACTCGCGGCTCGTTTTGGGTCGTGACAATTATGGTATTATCTATTATTATTTTTTTTTCAATAAAAATCTTTAGTTGCCTTCTTAAATTTCTTATTAGAGAAAATTGAATCACATTTATTGAAAAGAAAAAATATTTAATTAATAATTTGTTAAAATTTATATATATATGTACATAAAATAAGTAATGTAATGTGGTCTCAAATAATTAATGAGATTGGTTGAATAAAGGAGACGTAACATGTAGAGTGCTTGATTTTTTGTCTAATGATACCTTGAAAATGTCATTAATTAGATAAATCCAATAAGCACAATATGTATGTTGCATGAAGTCTGCTGGCTCAGGAGATCATGATTTGGTAATTGCAACATCTATATATTTTTTATTATTATATAATATAGTATTCGTATCAATTTATGCGCATTTTAATTAATTTTTTGAAATATCTATTTTTTACTATAAAAAGTAAGAGATAACTTTGTCACCAGGACTAACACAGAAAACGCCTAGTATTTTTATTTCTATCGAAATTTGAACTCGTTAGGACTCACATCTATCAATCCCCTGTTTTGCTGCACAGATGCTCTTTTGAAAACTTTCTAAAGATTTTTGTTGCATAAATGTTGATTATCTAATCTGACAAAATAGAATGTGATATGATGAGATAAAATGTAATTGAAAAAAAAAGAGTAACATGTAACCTATTCTTAATAGGCAAAGCGACCCCTATATTCTAAATTAACGAATCTCTATTTCTCATATATGTTGTTGTGTGACAAGTAAAGGTGTTCATGGTTCGATATGGATCAGTTATTAGTTAAAATCAAAACCAAATCAACTTGAATCGATTTTTATATTTCTAAAATCAAACCAAAAAAATAACCGTCGATTTGATTAGATTTTTTTGATTTTTTTCGATTCAAAAGTAATAAGTTTGTTGAGAACTACGCATTCCGATTGACAAAAACACTAAGTACCTGAATAATTCACAAATAAGTTATTAAACGAACAAAGAGGTTTGTCGAATGTACCAAGTTTCAAAAACTTAAAAAACTCATTGTCAATAACATAAAGTTGATTCAATATTTTGGAGATCTCAACATCTTAAAATATCGAGATATTACTTCTAAAAAAAATATTTCATAGTCGAAACTAATCAATTACCATCTTCATTAGATTGAGCTTTAAATTATTCGATATTGCGTAAGAAAATTTTATAAAGAACGAGAACATGTGATCTTTAAAGTAATGAATATTGAGGGATTAAGACTTATAGTTTCAATAGTTTGGCTAAAATTGAAGTGTTGGGCTTCAGAAAATAGTAAAATTAAAGACTTAATTAATTAAAATTTATCAAAATGCTTATATTCTATTTATAAAAAACTATAAAATTTATATTTATAACTTCTCGGTTCGGTTTAGTTATTTTTGCGGTTTATTTTCAATAAAATCAAACAAATAATATTGGTGTTTCAAAATTTAGAACCAAACATAACCAAATATCGATTTTTTTTATCGGTTTAATTCGGATCGCAATTCAGTTGGTTATGTAACTATAAGGAAAAAATTTACCCGCACCGGACTTTACACCAAAATTCATTATTATGTGATTTAATGAAGTTAAACAAGTGCTAATTAGTTAAGATTGAGTAAAATAAAAATTGTAAATTTAAACATGTGGCGTGCATGTATTGAATTGGTGTAAACACCCGGTACAGATAAGTTTCACCCTAACCATAACCATAAACAACCCTCGAGTGCATAATGTTCACCGGAACACCCTTAGGTTTTAACCGATAATGGGGGGCGGGGTTGAGAGAAATATACATCATAAGCTAAAACCATAATCTTGATTTCATCTTTATAACAGCAAAATGCAGTGTACTTATTGTGACATATTTTCACTTCCCTCGAGGAATTATGACAATCTCCTCATCTGAAAAATGATGTTTTAATTTAGTACTTTCTTTGTTTTCACTTGATGAACTTAGTAAACCAGTTTAACATATCTGTGTGAGATTCTTCTGCAGCTTTGACAGCCGGTTCATCCTCAACGTTGTATCGAACTGTCCATCCATGCTCTACCCCTGGAAATATCTTCACAAAGCTTTCAATCTGCACAATTAAGTATCACATGAATCTAATAGTAAACTTGCCTATAATGATCTTTTTCTACATGTATTAAATGCTTAAAAGATACAACATACCTCAGGTTTCGCGGATAAAGCATTGCCTAGTAGCTTTGCTTGGTCAGGAGGGAAAATATGGTCATGTTCAGCTGCTAATATTGCAATTGGAACTTTTACCTCTGAAAAATACAATTATGAGCGCGTAGTCATACAAGTACAATGCAGGACGAGATGAGAAATTAATCAAAGAATGTACCATTTATGTCATCAACTGTTATAGGACCAGGATGCAAGATAACTGCAGCATCAATAGTACTCTCGTATTTCGCCAATTTAGAAACTACCATTCCTGATGAACCCAAAGATTTATGACAAAAAATCAAGACAATAATGTAATTATAGTTAAGAAGTGAAGTAAAAAATTCATTCACCTCCCCAGCAAAAGCCTGCTGCCCCTATCGCGGAAACACCTTTACTCTTCAAAGATTCAACCACTACTTTAGCATCTTCACATCCTTTGTCCTAGAAGAGATTTAAGAACCACTTTCATACTCTTGGAAATGAAACTTAACTTACTCAAGACACCACATTTCTATTACTCAATTCATCAATATTCTCATATCCGCAAAGTTAGATAATAGTACTCTTAATAGTTTCAAGTGTTGCAGTCTTTGAAATTAAGAAGCTCACTCAGGGTACTTACAATGCCATGATCTTTGAGCCATGTCTGTACGTCATGTTTCTCGCGATCCAAAGGTTCACCATAGAAGAAATCAGGAACAACCACCAAGTACCCTGAAGCTGCAACTTTATCAGCTAACTTCCTGAATTATATTACACAAACAAAGCACGCTCAATACGTTGAAACTCATTACCCATGGATAAAGAAAAACCATTTCAACATCAAAAACAACAAAAAAACTAGAGCACACACATAATAACGGATTCAAAATTGTAACCACGCATCACCCATTCATTCTAGACCCGAGTCATAAGTGGGAAGTTTCTCCAGTTTACGCAGGGCACTTAAGGGTCTTTGCTTCGAGCTTAGGTTCTTTCACATAGAAATCTAGAAAGTAAAAAGGAACTTAATACATGGTCTACCTTAAAAGCGTGTCAATATATTTCATTTAAACACGCAAACTAAGCCTTGTTTCAATTGAAACAACGCCTCCAATCCTAATAAAGTGTTCCGATTAGACACTTTCGATTCAAATTTTAAAAAAACTTGTACCAAAAAGAAATAGTAGACATAATAGGCATCAAATCTGAGACAGGGAACTCTGTAGTTAGTTACCTCAAAAGTGGCGCTTCATATCCTGCAAAAACCATGAGAATTAATACCATCTTTATGTTACATCTTCTTTAATATGTAGTAATTACAACTAGTTTTAAGCCCCAATCAAGAGACTTTCAAATTTATTAATTATATATATAGTTGATGTTTACCAAATACATCAGAAATGAGAAGAATTGCAAGTTTGGAATGAATAGATCCACTAACATAGCTGCTAAGCCCTCCAATCTCTTGTAAATCTCCAACTCCAGAAGCTGAGTTGAGGGTTGGTGGATTCTTCATACATTGTGCTCCTGCCATTTTTGCTCAAAAAATATGTTTCTTTGGAAATGTCAAAGACAATACTATATTAATATCATTAATTAACACCAATGAGAATCGTGGCATAGTGATAAATACTCAATAATTATAAATTCAAAAATTTAAATACAGAATCGACTTTATTAGAGAATATTTTAGACCTTATATAAAATTTTTCGATATAAATTTATATTTAATCAAACCTCAATGTAAATTATAGACCCCGCTAGAAATAAAAAGAAAATATCAGTGATGAACTTTCAAAGACATTAGTTTAATTTCTAGAGGTGGGGGACTACGTAACCACTTACGTTTATGATGGCTAAATGATGACTCTCTCTCTCAAATTATTTATTGGTTATATTTTTATACGTTTTTTTTAAAACTATTCTACCTTAATACATAATCAATTTGATTGAAATTTGACTCCTTTCCATTTTTCTTTCTTTTATTTTCTTCTAAGTTCTTATTTCTATCTGAGATACATGATATAGATAAAAATTAATGATTAATATTAAATTAAATAAAAATAAAATTTTAATTATAATTTAGATAATTAATATTTTATAAAAAAAATAACAATTCAACAATCATAATAATAAATTATCTTGTCATAAATATATGATTTAAAAAAATCTTTTTTTTATCTTCTGTTTTTGCCCTTAAATATATTATAAAATATTCACTTATTCAAATTATTTTTCCCGAGCGAATATTTCTCTATTAATTATATGTAAAGAGAAAGTTCAAAGTTGCTATCCAAGACTTATTCAATTTTATTTTATTTTTAAAAACAAACTGAAGATAAATACTTGTAGGGAATTTTTTTAAAAAAAGCGAAAAGTTTTTATAATATATTTATGGATAAGATAGTAAATTTGTTATGACTTATGCTTATGATATTATTATTTTTTATATGAAATATTTATAATCACAATTAGAATGTTATTATAATCAATTAAATCTTAGACATTGATTTTTATCTATGCCATATGTCATATATATATATATATATATATATATATATATATATATAT